TATTGTAAAAAAACAAAAAACCGTTTTTTTACATGTTCCATAATTTTACACTTTTGCCGTTTATTAACGATCCTAGAGATCGTTTATAATTTTGCATTGCTATCTGTCGCCTCCCGGTTGGTCTCTCCGTCTGTTCCTTTGTCTGTCTGTCCATCTATCTGTCCGTGTGAACGATAACTTTGTTTAGAAATGTTCAATCGCTTTTACATCTCCGTTAGTTATGAACTGAATTGCATGAAATTCAATATGGGCATAGCTTTAGCCATATAATACGCAATGCCCAAAGTTGAATCGAATCGATTCAAAATTCACAGTGCCCTTTTCGCATCTCGACCATTTATAAACCGAATTGCAAACTTTTTTACTTATAAAAGTATTTGAATGAAATTTGATACATAGGCACTTGTAATAAAGGAAAATCAAACGCCAATTTCAAAATTTGGTTTTGCGCATGCGCAGTGCCAACTTTTTTATTTATGGAAGAATTTAAATGAAATTTGATACATAGTGTAATGGGGGGTATTTTATATTGCAACAAGGAAAATCGGTAATTAAATTGGAGCTAATTGTTGGTCAGAACTCATTATTAAGATGCGACAAATCTACTGTAAACTCACCTTTCATTAGAAACGTCCCTCTGTAATCTACGCGTAAGGGGTTGGCATGGCAGCATTCACTCTGACTGGTCGTCTCCCGCGCTCAAGGGTCATATAAACAAATATCGCGACTGCTTAACCGCAATCCTCGCCAATTAATTAAGTAACTCACCGGGGGGCGTTAGCCCCGAACTGGCACTAAACGCTCCTGGATCTCCGAACACTCAATTTTAAAACTAATTTACTATAACTAACTAATAAACTAAGATTTTCCTTTGTTCCAAGCGCCTAAGTATCAAATTTCACTTAAATAGTTCCATAGACAAAAAAGTTCGCACGGCGCATGCGCAAAATAAAAGTTTGAAACTGGCGCTAGATTTTCCTTTATTCCAAGTGCCTATGTATCACATTTCATTTAAATTCTTCCATAAATAAAAAAGTTGGCACTGCGCAGCGCATGCGCAAAACCAAATTTTGAAATTGGCGTTTGATTTTCTTTATCCCAAGTGCCTATGGATAAATTTCGTTTAAATTCTTCCATAAATAAAAAAGTTGGCACTGCGCATGCGCAAAACCAAATTTTGAAATTGGCTTTGATTTTCCTTTATAAGTGCTATGTATCAAATTTCGTTTAAATTCTTCCATAAATAAAAAAGTTGGCACTGCGCATGCGCAAAACCAAATTTTGAAATTGGCGTTTGATTTTCCTTTATCCCAAGTGCCTATGTATCAAATTTCGTTTAAATTCTTCCATAAATAAAAAAGTTGGCACTGCGCATGCGCAAAACCAAATTTTGAAATTGGCGTTTGATTTTCCTTTATTCGAAGTGCTTATGTATCAAATTTCGTTTAAATTCTTCCATAAATAAAAAAGTTGGCACTGCGCATGCGCAAAACCAAATTTGAAATTGGCGTTTGATTTTCCTTTATCCCAAGTGCCTATGTATCAAATTTCGTTTAAATTCTTCCATAAATAAAAAAGTTGGCACTGCGCATGCGCAAAACCAAAATTTGAAATTGGCGTTTGATTTTCCTTTATTCCAAGTGCCTATGTATCAAATTTCATTCAAATACTTTTATAAGTAAAAAAGTTTGCAATTCGGTTTATAAATAGTCGAGATGCGAAAAGGGCACTGTGAATTTTGAATCGATTCGATCCAACTTTTGGCATTGCGTATTATATGGCTAAATCTATGCCCATATTGAATTTCATGCATTTCAGTTCATAACTAACGGAGATGTAAAAGCGATCGAACATTTCTAAACAAAGTTATCGTTCACACGGACAGATAGATGGACAGACAGACAAAGAAACAGACGGACAGACCAACAGGCAGACGACAGATAGCAATGCAAAATTATAAACGATCTCTAGGATCGTTAATAAACGGCAAACGTGTAAAATTATGGACATGTAAAAAAAGGTTTTTTGTTTTTTTACAATAACTTTTTTTGTAAGCGGTACAGAAAAAATTCCTTCCTTGGTACAAGACTCGACACCATAACGAACCAAATAGCGAAAAAAAGTAGAACAATAGCTCTTAAGATAAAAAACTAGTAGCGTCGCAAAGTTAGCGGACGGACGGACGGACGGACGGACGGACAAAGTGGCCACAATAGCGCATTTTTTTTTATTTTTGTGGAAATGCGCTAAAAAGTTGGCACGGCGCATGCGCAAAATAAAATTTTGAAACTGGCGCTATATTTTCCTTTATTCCAAGTGCCTATGTATCACATTTCATTTAAATTCTTCCATAAATAAAAAAGTTTGCAATTCGGTTTATAAATGGTCGAGATGCGAAAAGGGCAATGTGAATTTTGAATCGATTCGATCCAACTTTTGGCATTGCGTATTATATGGCTAAATCTATGCCCATATTGAATTTCATGCAATTCAGTTCATAACTAACGGAGATGTAAAGCGATCGAACATTTCTAAACAAAGTTATCGTTCACACGGACAGATAGATGGACAGACAGACAAAGGAACAGACGGAGAGACCAACCGGCAGGCGACAGATAGCAATGCAAATTTATAAACGATCTCTAGGATCGTTAATAAACGGCAAAAGTGTAAAATTATGGAACATGTAAAAAACGGTTTTTTGTTTTTTTTACAATAACTTTTTTTGTAAGCGGTACAGAAAAAATTCCTTCCTTGGTACAAGACTCGACACCATAACGAACCAAATAGCGAAAAAAGTAGAACAATAGCTCTTAAGATAAAAAACTAGTAGCGTCGCAAAGTTAGCGGACGGACGGACGGACGGACGGACAAAGTGGCCACAATAGCGCATTTTTTTTTATTTTTGTGGAAATGCGCTAAAAAGACGAACTGCGCCTACAATCAAATCGGGCGGAAATCTCGAATAAATAGCGTAAAGAAACGTACGCTTTTTTCGTTGTTTGCCGTAGGTAAATCTAAAAGGAAAAATAACACTACAGGAATACAAACTCAAATCAAATAAACCTGCGTATTAGTAAATAACCCCCGGATTTACTTCAATAAATTTGAAATAGTATCATATCCACGATTTTCCGCCATTACTTTCGGTGTTTAGACCGAAATAACATCGACAAAAAATCAGAATCCAATACAGAAAGCTAACCTGATTAAATCTTCAAAATTAAAAACTTAAACTTCAACGTATACGATCTTAGCTCAGGATTTAATTTTGAAGCTTTAATCTTGACGCTTCAACCCTTAAAAAACGAAAGTCTATGAAACGTGTAATATGGAAGATGAAATTTGAATATAATTAGCTTTAACTACAATTTTCAAGTTTTTGTGAGCTTCACTGTTACAAGGATAAAATATTTCTTTGTTCCTGATGCACTGGAAGGGTAAATTCGTCCCATTTATTCCTGAATTCCCAAAAACTCTTTCCGAAAGATTTTTAAATGTAAATTAATTCTGTTCATCAGCATTTGGTGAAGGTAGATGCGCACCTTGTCCTTCGATTTTATAAAATCTACCATTAAAGTGCATACTTATTTTTAAATAAACTCCCATTTTATTTCTAGCTTGTTACTTTGTTACCCCTGCTTTGAAAGGGTAAGTTCGCCCATTTGCCCATGAAACTCCATAATTTCTCTCTGAAGAATGTCTAATTAGAGTTTTAAAAACTATGCTTGTCTGATGCAAACATAACTGTACACGTTGGTCCATTCTGATCGCCTCTGGACGGTTGATTCGTCTCTTGCCTGCCGATTCTATAAGATGTGTTTTGAAGATGCATTTTTATTTCTAAATAGATTTTTGATTTCAATTCTAGATTGTCACAATTATAGCTATATAAAGTATTTAATTATCACTGCTTTTAGAGGGTAAATTTGTGCATGGATCTCCAAAATCTTTTCCCAAAAGAACAAAAAAATGAAAAATTGGATTTTTAAAATCCTTTTTTCTACTGTACATGTTAAATCATCCGGTCGACCCGGCTACCTCACAATAGGTTTTGAATTCCTTCTGGTTTAGACAAGCTCAAGAATTTTATCCTTGTACACCAAAGCACATACAAAGCTTCAACTGATAGGGTGCTCATTGCAGCTGTAACCAATGCGGCACATTTAAAAATAGCTTAAATGCATACATAAGGTAAATAACGTAAAAGAAATAGCGTAAACGTTATTAAGTATTTATTTTGTGTATACATGAAAAATTAAGTCATTTAATTAGTGGTTGTTTACTTATTACGCAAGGATCCCCTGACCATGCATCTTTGCCATACTTTTTAATGTTGCAAATTATTCTAAGGGTGAGGAAGTAGAGAATTTCAAAGACAGAAGTCACCGAAAATCCAATGAACAAACCGAAAAGACCGCCAACATTTGAAAAGAAATCCACCAATCCGTGTAACTCCTTTCTTTCGCAAGTGAGGAACTGTGCGTCCTTGTAATACACGCTCAATTGCGAAAGCTGCGCGCTGAAACGTAAAGATAGTGAATTTAATATGCCCAAAAAGGCGTTAAAATAATAGCAAAGAAACATTAATTTAACAACCACACAAAAACATGTTTCCTATTTTAATTCATTTTCCAAAGCTACTATTGATAAACACAAAAATTTGGCATTCACTATACTGCCGTCTAAGATGGTAAAATCCGATCTTGAAGTTAAGAAAATTCGTATTCTAATTGATTTTTGAACGCTACTACGCTACCACCACCAGAAAATGGCATTCACATATCAAAGGATGAAATGCATTCTTAAAGTTAAAGTTCTTTCTTATGAATTTTACTAGTAAATACCTCCTTTGATGGAAACCCTCTTACAAAATCTTAATTAGTTTTTAGTAATTTTCTTAGAAACCTTTCTCGAAATACCAATTTCAAAGTGCTATAATTTTCACCCGGAAAAATTAAACTCCACAATTGGTAGTACCTACTCCTTTAACAGTTCGTTATATATAAGCCTTTCCAATGGATGTGAAGCTTCCAACACATCATTCCACAGCCAGTTTGTTTGAGACGTTTCGACGTCGTACGACACGGAAGTACACGATGGCAAACATTCGCATGGTTCGACTTCCAAATACTTCACTTAAAAAAGTAGTTATTAAAGTTTATCGTCACAATCATCTTAAAACATACACTGACTTTCTCTTACACACTCACTACTGCCTGGTCCACAAATATTTATTTTGTCGTGTAACGCTAAAGAGGGCGTTAAGTATAAAAACTTTGTGCGTGGTCAACTTACGGGGAAAGAAAAACGGAATGCATTTGCACCGTTTCATAGTGTAATTAGCCAGGCATTCTTCCATGCAATTTTGCTGAGTGTACCCCTTGTAACTGGCCAAATATCTTTCGTGTGTAAAATAACAGTTCCTCACTCGAGGAGCATAGTTTACCAATTCGGGCGATACTGATATTAAAGATGGCTTAATACCAACGAATACCACTTGATCTAACGGTAGAAGAAAGCACCTGTCCATGTTAGGCATCTCTGAAGGGTGGTGCAGGGCGACCTGAAACCGAGCACTAAAACACTTCGATTGTTCAGTAGGTATGTTACTTTGTATCCCTGTATGGATCCCTCGCACAAGGGATCTATGTGATTTTTGTTGGTGTAGAGGCTATCAATGGTCAGTCCTCCTCTCGCGCCAGGCACGAATGTTCTTCTTGGGTAATCATCTCGCGAATGTCGACCTTTGGTCTTCATTTGTGAGTGACTACAATGCTTTTTGCTTAAATCAGTTTTGCAATTCGTCTACTCACCCAAACCTGAAAATTTCCTCGTGAGGTAGCATGTTAAAGGTATAACAAATCCCTGCCGATGTAATACTATGAAAGAATGCCTCCTCGCTATTCAATTCCTCTCCAATCCATGTTATTTTGGTCATATTTAATGGATCAAAGTGTGGCAACATCTAAATTGCGGTTTCTTTGCAACAGCGCGTTTAATCATTTCGAATACTCACCTCAACCAGCCTCTTAGTAGTACCATCAAAAGACATTGCGCTCATGTTTGGAAAAACGTAATCGCGTGCTTGACTCATCGCACCGCTACAGACCAAGAGGGCCAAGTGGAGGTTTTCCTCCCTAAAAAAAAAACTATAAGTGTTACCTCTTACGGTTTCATTTTTCATTTAGATACTCCATTGCGTTGATCTCCTCGTAACTACAGAATCGCTGAAACGTATCGGAAAAATTGAATATCTCCTTATTGAATTTCGCCTCAGGACAGATCGTTACCGCAGGAAATGGAATTTTGGAAATTTGTGTTTCGACATTCGCAAAGGTGACCATCACTGGCGCATACTGCCACTTGAGGTACGTCTGCCGGACCAGCGACAGGCAGAGAGCGCAAACCACAACCACAATGGCCGTCCATACCAACCTATCGCGTACAATTCGGAATTAACCATTGACCATGGTCGACCTCACCTCTCCAACAAAAACCGACCGCGTTCGCCGATGTATTTGATGCCATGAATACTGGTTTCCTCGCAGTAATGAGCTGCGTACAGCTTTAGGTTGTTCCTCTTTTCGGTAAGAACGTTCTCCCTTGGAACTGGAGAAATTCGAAATAAGGTGTTCTGCTTAATAAGCGTAGGTCTCTTTTTAATTATTTGAGGTAGTGTGCCAAGCATAGTTTGTACTCTAGTGTTCATATTCGTATCGACAATAATTGGAATAATTGGAAACACATTTAAAATTTTTTTATGTTAAAGCGTATCACGCGACACAATTAATTCATGACTATAAAACACTGCATGAAAATAAGTTTGTGTTGTCCGTTTAATTAGGTTGATTCGTTGGTCCTAACTGAAAAATTGATATTGAAATAAACGTAATGAAAATTAAATGTTTGTCTTGTTCCATAATTACTCGCCCGAACCAATCACAGTAGATCTTCGTTATTTAACGTCCCTACCGTTTGATTAAGAAATTTTAAGGTACAGTGTTTGAAGGAAAGATCCTTTTAAAAACTCCAAGGGCCTTTCAGAAGTTCTTAAGAGTTTTCAAAAGTCTTTGAATCTTTAGGATATTCGTCTACAATCTGAGCTAGGATTTCAAAAGCTTCACGTTTCCAATCTTCACAAATCACAATGCTTTTAAAAACTTTGCAGTTTGCAAAATACTTATTTCGTTTACGTTTAGGCTTTGGCACATAAACCAATAAGATTCTAAGCAATCGGGCCTTTAAAGGGAATTTAAAAGGTATTAAAAAGACTATCTATATAAAATCTAATGAATTTTATTTAAGAGCATTAAAATTTTTTAGCGGCTAAATGACTGTGAAAACCTTCAAAACTCGGCCTTCTAAAGAGCTCTACAAGCATTTCTAGAGGCATCCATATTTATTAGCATTTATGAGAGTTTTTTTTAGTGTTGTAAGGTATCATACAGTTTCTCTGCAGTGTTGAAGCACTTTTAAAGGTATTCGTTCAAGAGCCTCCTATCCAAGTGTTCTGCGAGCCTTCTAAAAACCACTTTAATTTTCTAAAAAAAGCCTTCAAGACATTTCAATAGCATTCAACATACCTCAAGTGTTTTTTAAACTCATCAAGAGGAGCATTTCGGAATCTCCTTTCAGTCCCTAATTTCCTAAGAGCGCATATAAGCTTTTAGAGCTTTAAGAATAAACTAACTTGAAGTATCTTTAAGAGATTTCGAGATGCTTTATTAGTATTGTTGTGTAAATTACGTCCTGCGGTCGTTTTATTGGGCTTCAGCACTTACAATAACGTTGGGTCTTTTAATGGTGATTAACATTTCTTTAATTAATTTGCTCAATCGATCGCTTGTGCGTGGTATTTCATCTATAAACCCTATAAAGTGCTTCTTTTTCTTTCAGTTTATTGAATTATTTTGTTAAATAAATTTATGTCATCTATAAATAGTCAGTTTTGTGTATAATCGAGTCCAAATTACGACCTAGATAAGAGTTCTCATTCTAAATTCTTCTGTTTTAAATTTTAATTTTAAAGTTTTATCGAGATTTTTCGTAGTAGCGGATGATGGACGCTCCTGAAAGAATGGTAATCGCTTACCTATGTTTAATTGAGCTCGCTGGACAGTGATTTCCCCCAGTGATTTCTCCGAAAGAGCTTTTAATGACTTCCCGAGAGCCCATAGAGTCTCGACAGTCCTTAACAATCGTTAAGATCTTTTTAAAAATTTACCCCAAACGCTTCAACTTTAAAATTTATGGAGCAGGGAACTTAAAGACTGGATAATTAGCACTTTTGACTAGGTGGCTTTCCAACAGCGCCGTCGCTTGCAAGTGATTGTCCCTATGCACCCATCATTTTCGTGACTGATATATTGGTAGTATTGTCAAAACTGTACTCCAAACAAAAATTTTAAATTTTCGGGATCAGGGAAATTAAAAACTGTAAGATTAGCAATCAGTTTCAGCTACGCGATTTTTTCACAGTTCAGTCGCTCTGACAGTGACTGCCATAATTTCGTGAGCGGGAAACTAGCAAACAATTACGCCCACGCACAGTTTAAACATTTTTTTAAAACGTGAGCTGTACGCTTTTAGTGACTACTATAACTTTTGATTGAGAAGTCTAATCGAAAAAGTACGAATTGTTTTGGATTCTACGCCCCAAATTTAATAAGAAAAAGTGTTTTCCCGAGAAATTTTGGTGTAGTCGATTTTTGGTAAAAAAAAAGGAAGGTTATACACTGCCTTTTTTTGAGCCCCGAAAAAAAAATTGTCTCAGATCGACCCGGAAAAAAAATTTTCTTATAGAATGTGGCCTGTAGAATCCATAATTTCAAAAAGTTCCAAGATTGGGCTACTAGTTCAAAAGTTACAGCCCTTTGAATTTTCTTTCGAAATTGGTTTCTAGTCTATAACTTTTGATTGAAAAATCTAATCGAAAAAGTACGATTTGTTTTGGATTCTACGCACCAAAATTAATAAGAAAAAGTGTTTTCCCGAGAAATTTTGGTGCAGTCGATTTTTGGTAAAAAAGGAAGGTTATACACTGCCTTTTTTTGAGCCCCGAAATAAAAATTGTCTCAGATCGACCCGGAAAAAAAATTTTCTTATAGAATGTGGCCTGTAGAATCCATAATTTCAAACAGTTCCAAGATTGGGCTACTAGTTCAAAAGTTACAGCCCTTTAAATTTTTTTTCGAAATTGGTTTCTAGTCTATAACTTTTGATTGAGAAGTCTGATCGAAAAAGTACGAATTGTTTTGGATTTTACGCACCAAAATTAATAAGAAAAAGTGTTTTCCCGAGAAATTTTGGTGCAGTCGATTTTTGGTAAAAAAGGAAGGTTGTACACTGCCTTTTTTTGAAGCCCTCAAAAAAAATTGTCTCAGATCGACCCGGAAAAAAATTTTCTTATAGAATGTGGCCTGTAGAATCCATAATTTCAAACAGTTCGAAGATTGGGCTACTAGTTCAAAAGTTACAGCCCTTTGAATTTTCTTTCGAAATTGGTTTCTAGTCTATAACTTTTGACTGAGAAGTCTAATCGAAAAAGTACGAATTGTTTTGGATTCTACTCCCCAAAATTAATAAGAAAAAGTGTTTTCCCGAGAAATTTTGGTGTAGTCGATTTTTGGTAAAAAAAAGGAAGGTTATACACTGCCTTTTTTGAGCCCCGAAAACAAAATTGTCTCAGATCGTATCATGAAACATTATGTCATTGCGAGAATGCTTTATCGCAAGACGATTCTGTTCATTTTTTGGTGCTTTTACAGCTTTCGGTGTAGTAAAAAAAAAGAGGGTCTCCTTCCTATAACTACGATACGGGTCCTAAACGCGTTCTGACGCATTCAACGTGAGATTACAGCTAAAGTATTGGAGATACCAAAAAAATGTAAATACTCTTTTTTATAGGGAATTTAGTAAACTATATTTTTCATGTAAACTATTTCTTCGTATCAGTAATAGTTGCCGAGACATGGGCAAAAAACTGGAAAAGTGTACCGTTTTTCCAAGATGGCGTCTCGAGCGCAACAGATTTTGACAGTGACTTTTAGTATGTTCAATAGAAAGTCCCAATAAATGTGTATACCAAAATTCAGATCTTTACCGATTAATGTTTTTATTTGTCCAAAATTGCACTAATTTGACTGGACTATGACGGATCCCCAGTTTTTGGTTTATTTTTCTTCTTATTATTTTTCTACTTCTGAAATGACATGTGATTTTATAACTTTTGTTTAATTTAAGAGGCATTCGGACATTTTTGCGAATTATTTAATACCCTATTGTTGAACCTTGAAATATAAAGTACCCTTGGAACCTGTTTCCTAATTATCTTCATGAGTTGCTCTTATTTTTAAGCTTTGATTTTCTCAGAATTTTTGAATCGTTTTTGTTTGAAGTATTTTTGAATTGTTTTCGCGAAATCCTTTCTAGAAAACTTTTATCACTTTCCGGAAATAAAAACATTCCTAAATCCTCTTTGAAAATTCTACTGTGGGCACTAAACAAACGCCAAGCGAAAACTCTTTTTAAAATTTTTGGAATCCTAGAAACAATTTTCCAAAGTTTTTCAATATTTTCCCAAATCCAACTGTCTTTTGTAGGGGTGAAATTAATGCCCCCTAATTATTTGTATACCGCCACGTTTTTTAAAAAAAAAAACCTTTTACGGCTTGTCAAATATTTTTGCTTCTAATTTCGTCTCTAAAAAGGGTGAAGAAAATGTGATTTTCCTCTCTAGTGAGGAAAGTAAAAAACACTTGCTGCGTTAATGTTAATGGCATTTAAAATTGATACATACCCGTGTCTAGATTGCTATTATGTGTCAAACGTTATTATAGCATACAATAATTTTTCAATTTTGATTGTAGTTTCAGAAAAAATTATGTGAAGAAAGTGATTTGAAATAATTCCACTTTCTTCTCTACAATTAACTATATACATACATTTAGGAATCTCCATATGCTCGGAACATTTTAACAATATTCTGCTTTCGAGGGACGCCATTCCAAAGTGATCTGAAATATTTTTAAATTTCAATCATCAAAAAAGTATTGCCCCCATCTTTCGAATTCTTTTGGATTAGGCAACTAAACCGCATATTAATTAATTTCACTTATATGTGTCAGGATTACTAGAAACAATCGTTTTGCAAGTCCTCCTTTTGGCAAGGAGAGCTAGGAGTTTCGTAATTCTTAATTTTACGCATCCTGCCGCTAAAAAAAACTATTACATTATTGTTAAAACAATAGTTAACTATTATTATCGTGACGTACGTCAGGAATAACATTATAATTAGTTTTTAGATCGAAAAAATCGGTCGCATGAGTGAAAAGATAAACATTTTCAGAAATTGGCCTCCATCTTGAATTCTGGACTTCCGGTTCAGATTTCGAGGTGCCAACATCGATATTCGTGTTCAGCAGGTACCAATTAGTAAAAAAAGCCTTGTTGGCCAAATGTTGTCTGAAATGCTCCTAGGACAGAAAAACTTCGAAAAGTGAACCAGTCTATTTAAGGGACTAAAGCAATACTTTTTATCCCGGTAGGAGAAACACGCGACAAGGGTCAAGAAGTGACAGAAGACACTAAAATGTCAAACACACTTTAATGATTAATGGTTACCTTTATTATATGTACATTTTGGATATTGCACCTTATTTTATTCTTATTATACCGTTTTTCATATATCTTTTTGAATTTGGGAGGCAGTGGTTTTCCCATATGTTGTTCTGCAAAGCTTTAAACTGCGCCGTTAGTTTTGAACGAGAATCTTTACGTAAATGAAACTGACATTTATTATTCGACGGCCACAATTTGACATCAGACATGACAATCAATCTTTTAGCTCCAATATGGCGGATTATGATAAGTTGTCGCCACTGTTCTTATAAAGTCACTTTAGTTTGCACTGCAGTGATGACAATGATTGGATAGGGAACACATTTTTAATTTTTTATGTTACAGCTTATCACGAGACACCATTAATTTATGACTATAATAAAATAATTTATAAAAGTGTGTGCTTTCCGCTTAATTGGTTTGAAACGTAGGCCGTAACTGAAAATAATTAATATTGAATTAAACGTAATGAAAATTAAATGTACTTGCTCAGGGGGTAGTACAGTGTTTGGGGGCTTTTGAGAGTTTTGAGCACATGGACCAATAACAGTCTAAGCAATTGTGCCTCTAGAGGGTTATATTAAAATGGGTTAAAATGCTTTAATATTTCCGAAAGTAGTCGGAATTTTTTCAGTTTCAAAACTGCATTTTGTTAAGCATCAAAATACGCAACTTTGCCAAATTTAAACTACCTACCTATCTCTTACAATTCCCGAGATCCCCATGGTGGTCCTCGAATTTGATCAGCCTGTATAGCGATTGGGGTACGAAGTTTGTAGCAGCTTCTAAATAGCTGATGCAAAATATGCGCAAGCGCATCTGTCAATGAAGGAATCGCAGTATCGCACGGCATTTCAACCCTCTTTCTGCTCCAAATTTCGATGGTATTTATGGACGAGAATAAATGCGATGCGCGGACGGGTAGTCAACATGAAAACGCAAAAGGGCATCCTGCGGCGCCCTGTTTATTACCGAAAATGAATTGATAATTTTTCCATTTCATTTTCCTATTTTTTTTTATTTTTTACACATTTGCACATTTAAGGCGGCCGGTATGTTGCATCAAATTAGAAGTTACTTACATTTTTTTATCTATCTTAATACATTTGGTGTAAAACTGAAACTTATATGAATGTACCTAATTTAATTTAAATATTTCGCCGCCTTAATATGCTTGCCAAGGGTCCGTTAACTTGCCCCCCTCTCTACCTAGAAATTTGATTGTCATATTATTACAAAGTAATGCGCTTGTTATGCGCTCACATGCGCCAAGGGGCCAAGTATACGTAAGCCCCCCCCCCTCCCCACTACGTATGGCGCAACCTTTAATTCAAGTGGCGCAAAAACAAGAATGACTCAATGATATCTTTATACGGCGCGTTTTAGCGCATACCTAGGAGAGCATTTAGTATAGAAACATTATAGAAAAAAGTAACTTTTAAAAACGTTAAGATGCCCTCCCCCACACACACACTTTTCGAAAATTTCTCATGCCTTAACCGTGATGGCGCTAGCTTTATTTTAATTTTATGTGGCGCAATTGAATTCATAACCAGGTGTAATAGATGGCATAGATACCAGCGACAAAATATATACCGGGGGAGGGGGCTACGTATACTTGGTTCTTCCCAAGTGTTTTTCGGATTGCCAAAAAAACGATAATGGAGCAAGAGTTATAATCGGTGGCGCATGTGAGAGCATAACGAGCGCATTACTGGCGACCATCAAATTTCTAAGAGAGGGGGAGGGGGCAGGTTAACGGACTAATCGCGTTAAATAGACAGCCTTCTTTACCTGATGCCCGAGCGGCCGGCATTCCCCTGAATCGAGCGATATTGACACTGACACTTACCAAGAACTCTACTTGTAATAGTTATTTATGTATTAAGGGATAATAGTGATGTTTATATTCTCGAGGGCGACGAGTTAAAAAGCTCGAGGGCCTATGGCCCGAGAGCTTTCTAGTCGCCCGAGAGTATAAACATCAGTTTATGCCCGTGGTGCATACACAATTTTATGTCTTACAAATAGTTTTCTTCGTCAAAATTCGTTTACAAAATAATTCATTATGTTTGATCGAGTATGCGTGGTTCGAATTTGATAATGTGATTGAAACCATCCAATCGTCAAACGTAATTTTAAACAATTCAATTCATTGTGAATGAGGAGGAAGTTCCAGAAACTGTTATAAGGCCAATCTTGTGATTTAGTAGGTATTGGCAATTAATAATTGACGTTTCTAATTATCAATGACCTGCAAATATTTGTTTGTTTTGTCATTACGTATAAATGAGTTACTATGGTGATACTTTTATGCCCTAGGGCATAAAGTGGCCACTTTATGCCCGCGTATCACAGATATAAAATGTGCTATGATAGGTTAGTAAGACATAAAAACCATTACAATCTATGAAACCCTTTAAGAGATTTCAATAGTCTCAAGAGTGCTCTTTTGGGAGTGTTTAAAGGTTTTCATGAAATCGTTAAGAGTTTATATTGATATTTTAGGGCCCGTGTTTTCTCACCAATAGATTGTCCATAGTAGTCCTTTAAGAGCTTTTGAAAGTCCTGAAGAATCTTTAAAAGCCTTGAGAGTATTTACCCAAATCTTGAGGACATATAAGTCCTCCTTTGTGAGTCTCTAAGTGCAATTAAAATGTTTTTTAAAGTGATTAATTCATTCCATTAATATACGACCAATCAGCTTGGTGATTGTTTCAAATTCTAACCAATCAGATGATTTTTTATCTGATTAAAAGCTAGGTAGCTTTTTATCAGCGATAAAAATGCGAGTAGGGACGCGTAAAATATATGGTGGTTGTAAAATTTACTGTCTTTTATTAATCTTTCTAAAATACACTCGATCTTGGATAATTATATAATTCACTCACATTTTGTTGCCTCCTGGAAAAAACTCTCGTTGTCTATAGTTTTTTTCCATTGCAACAAAATTTTCGTGTAAAAATAAAATTATCAGATTTAAAATCAAGCTCTTGTGTATTTACCCCCAATCAAACAATTTTACTGTGGTCACGACAGCCACGTGTCAAGACTAAATTGAAATTATTCCCAAATATAGAATATTATTTTTTCATCTAATCGCAAAATAAATATTCTTCCAATCTCCGAAATCCCTATAATATTTGAATCCTTCCAAATCTGGTGTAAGTAGTTTATTTACAATTTTCACGAAGTAATATTTCACCTCAAGTACAATTATAATTCTAGATCACTATGAAGCTATACAAAAAAGTCTCGTAAACAGATCTTCATGACTTATCGCGCACTTAATATTATTCTAATTAGACAACTATTAATGTAGTGAATTAATTAATTGAATTTTATCCAACAATAGGTCACAGTTTATTACATATATCCAAATTTAGATCCGTCCAGATGCGGAACGTCAAGCTGACCTATTAAGAACAATTATTTCAATTAAATATCACAACACTTTGGCACCATTCTGCTCGTCCTCGTCAACCAAATCCGGTTCGCCCGACCAATATCCGGGGCCATATTTTTTGAGGTTGCACCACAGCCTTAGGGTACAAAAGTAGATAACCTCAATAAAGGAGGTGATTGAGATTCCTATGAATAATCCCAGCAATCCTCCGATGCTTGAAAGAAAATCGACGAAACCGTACAGCTCGTTTCGCTCGGATGCCAGAAATTGCATGTCTTTAAAGAATATGGACAGTCGCGCTAAGTACAATCTGTAAATCTAAACGGTTAGGTAGAACGTAATTGTATTGCGGGTCATACTTCTCAAACTCCATAGTGTAATTTTTATGAGACACTGCACGCATTGCATTAATTGCTCTATGCCAGTCCCAGTCGATAATAGAGAGTTCTATGTCGTATTCCAGCGATGTGCAAGATGGAAGACAGAAGCACGCCTCCTTGTCGTGCTTGGGATAGTCGACTTAAAAAACTGTTAGGGCTTGACCTCCAAGACTTGATTAGGCGATACTTACTTTTACTTTGATAAAGGCAGGGTAGGTTACCAGGTCCGCATATAGGCGTGTCTCTATCCTCTACAAAAAAATATTGGAATAACCAACTGTTGCGTAATAATTCTCGTTACTTGGCATGTAAAATCCCAAACAACCGCACGTTCTCAGCGTGTAGTTCGATAGGCATTCTTGAAGGCAGTTGGTCTGGGTGTATTTTCGGAAGTATGTCAACTGCCTTTCCTCGGTGAAGTAGCATTTCCTACGCTTTGGGTCGTAATCTCTCAGTGTAGGTGAGACACCTGTTACCCTTGGCTTGATACCCACATCGACCGCGCTATTTAGTGGTACTCGAAAGTGTCTATCGAGATTAGGCCATTCCGCTGGATGGTGAAGCACGACCTACTCAAATTTACAGTCTCTTGTAAAATTAATGGTCCTAGGATAGCAAAACTTTAGCTTTAGGCGAACAATACAGCAGAATCTTCCTAACTTCGGTAAAGTTCGATTTCCATATGTGAGCTTAGAGTCTTTAAAACTAAACACTTCTGGCCTTCCAACCAAGAACAAATTAAATGAGTGGAAATGTGATCTTGTTTTGTAGTATATCAGATCAGCTCGTTGTAATATGGGATAGATGCCGAACTTTAGCAAAGTCATAGAAGTCGGTTCCCTATACTGCAGGGCCATTAATTCTACGAAAGGCTGCAGACGCGGTACCTTATATCCCTGCAGTGATTCCTGGCATAAATAGTCTAGGTCCTTCCTTTTCGTTGTCATTGCATCAAATACGAATCCCCCCAGCGCACCAGATACAAATGTTCTCATGGGATAACTGTCATCTATATCAGATGTAGAATAACCCTTGTCTAGTGACCATTCTCGAACGTTATGCGATTTTCTATCAGTTGGTATTGTGTATTCTCTACATATATAGTGAATTTGACATGCCATCCTCGCCCCCACCGCTACTTACTCAGGATTTTTAATTATATCTCCTGCATCCAGCATATTAAAGGAATAGCAGATACCTTCACTGGTGAAAGTGTAAGAGAAATACTCGTTAGGATCTAAAATTTTTCCTCGCCATTTCAGTTCAGATATATTTTCAGAGTCGAGCTCGGGAAACACCTAAAACAACAAAAGTGAAGGCCGGTCCCCTACTCACTGATGTACATTTAGTAGCATAGCAACTGCCGTGTCATTTACAAAAAGGTCGTCATCGGTTTCACTCGCCGGTAAGTCTATTGAACATATCAACGAAAGGCTTCTCCACGCTTCTTCGCTAATTAACTAACGTTACTCCAATTGCTTTCAAAAATGTTTCAAGCACTTACTCAAATGGTGGCAGCTCAGTTCCGAGTATTTTTTTGAGGTACGCGTCTGTAAAGTTAAACGTCTCCACGTTGGATTTGACTACCGGGCAGATTGTGACGGCGGGAAAAGGAATTTCACTTATCGAATTTTCGGAGGTTGCAAAAGATACGATCACAGGCGAGGTTACCCATTTTCTATACGTTTTCAATACCAGGATTGTGCTGCAGGTGGCTACTGTGAGAATGATTAAGAACCAAACAATTCTGAAAGAAAATTGTTGGAGCACTTTTTCAATTTACGGTGAGTAGCTTGAGGAGAGCTTTCCCTTTCACTTTTTTTCCGACTGGTGACAACTGTGCCATTTTCTGGTGGTAGATTAAAAAACTAATTTTTATTTCACATGCCAATTTTTAGAATGAGGTTCATTATACCAACTTTAAGGACGTGACCCTTTTTCGATTTTTTCGGTAATTTAAATAGACCAAAATTTGCACTTGTCTTGCTAATGGAGAAATAGTTGGACAAATACAAAAATCCGTCTAAATGCGTCGAAATTTTTTAAGAGATGCTAAGAAATCCAACATTTGATCTTGCGTACTGCTCATATGGTTATAGATGTACAGGGTGTCCTATTAATATAGTTCACAGGCCATATATGTATGGAGCCGGCAACTGAATAGCTTGGGGAAAAAGATTTTGTTAATAAGAGAGACCAAGAGAAATCAACCTGCATAAAAATGCATGCATCGCAATCTTGTATGAATTTTGCATCATAAAATATCAGGGGTGGAGTCTCTTTAAAGCAATGAAAATAACTTCGATTTAGGTTAACCGATTTTCACATGATTGGTCTCTCTTCGTCAAATTGTCCATAGATAGTCTTTATAGTAAATGTGAGTAGTGGTAGAGGACACGGCTTGACATTAACATAAACTTGACAGGTTTTCTTGACGACCATAAAATATTTATAGGTCTGGTTTAAATTAGCACCCCTGAATCGCCACCCCAATTAGTTACCGCGCCAAAATATTGTACTCATTTTATGCTAATTTGTGTGCCGATCTCCAAATTTTATGCTCCTCTCGTTTACGATAAAATCAGTTGTTTTAACACCATCATTCTCGTATCCAAATGGCACTAATTCTATCGTTTGGAGCTTTTTTGTGCTGATTTGTGTAATTTCGGAGTAATTCAAAATTTCTAAAGGGGATGCCAACTTAGCCCTCACAATCGGAGTGACTTGAAACGTATGTCATAGTTCTGTGTCTATTTTGTGCACCGTTACAATGCTAGACACCACCATGCTCGTATCGACGTGACACTAATGCTATAGTTTTGTGCTTATTTTGCGCCGATTTGTGCCAGTATCCAGGTTTTTTGCGCCGGTCGCTGCGAAGAAAATTAAAATTTCGATTACTTTATTTTGTTATTCTAGTCCAACTTTGGTTCAAATACTTGAACTACAGTATTCAAACATTTAGATACTTCTATATATGAATTTGAAGCTTTAAGCCCACAGGTAAATGCATTTTGTGGAGATCTATCCACATTTGAAATGTTAGCGCCCACCGACAGAGTCATCTTGGCGAGATATACCATTTTCCCCTTGCGAGTACCTTTTTCCAACATTACGTCCGCGAGATATATCCAAATTTAAAATTTTAACCTTCCATCCCACAATGTTGTCGACGGTCAACATATTGTAGCGAACATTCCAGAAATCTCGATAGACACCGAGGCGCCATGAAAGATTAGTAATTGGCGGTAAGGCGGATATGACGTAATCTTGTTTGTTCGAGAACCTGCTAAAATAGTCGGTTGCGTTCACATTCTCATTCGGAAATTCGGCTCATATTGAATAATACTGATCCTTGAACTCGTCGAAATCGATTGATCAAGGTTTAACTTTTGACATCGCTGTCTCTTTTCGTTCTCGACTTAGACGAGGAACAAACGGAAAGGCGGATGATCAAAACGATCACATAAGAGGATTTTTATCTTTCGAAAAATTTCCCAAAAAATTTGCCTGAATACACCCAAGTTAAAAAATAAGGCAGTTTTCGCTGTCTGTAGTTAAAAAATCCAAAATTTACTCTTGACCATTGCTAATATGGCAATACGTGGAGGTTTATAAAAAGTATGTCTTAATATACCGAATTTTTAGGAATGAGACAATTTTTCACTCACTTCCGTAACTAGTAATCCAAAATGTCTTCTGATCATATGGCAATAGATGCACGTATAAGAAAAAATAATATACCTACCGAATCTTTAGGAATGGACTTTTATAAGGAATTATTTCCAGAACATTGTTTTTATTAGGAAAATAAGTTTATATATAATAATCTTTTTGTTTTATGTTTGTGTTCAATATTCCATTTTGGTAATCAATTATTTACGCGGTTTTAATCCCCATAGTTCAGTCATAACTATAGTAAATCATTAAACTCTTTATTTCTTGGCGAATGAGCTCAATTATTTTATTTTATTTTGTAGCAAGTGTTAAATTGACATTGTAATATGTTTGAATGAATAGGCTCTTTAACCGTGAGGGTAGATAAAGTGAAACAGCTGATTATAAATTCTAATGGCATCTGTCATTCTTACTTCAAATGGAACGCGGAGCACCATATTAAATGACGTTAAGAACATAATGACAATGCTGATTCTATGGAAAGGAACACGACAGCAGAAACTAAGCTTGCTATTTTTGACGTCTGAATTAAATTCAGAACTTTCAGAAGCTTTACAATGATTTATCTGTCTTTTGCTATAAAATAAAGTTTTATATTATACACGACGATAAAGGAAAACTAACCATCTCGCGAATTAACCTCATTCACTCAAGGGTTAAAATATCCCTTTATCGTCTTATATAATAAGTAACTATTATTTTGGTCAGTCGAGAAAATGGCACAAGCGGTCCTTAAGCTACTAAAGTGTATTACTTTTCAATCGCATATCGACCACGCTCGCCTAAATACTGCATTCCATGGATGCTTGTCGCTCCGCAGTATTGGGAGAAGTAAAATTTGGCATTTCTAGCATGTCTCCTGCGAGGATTTGGCGCGATTTGGTCCACGCTGACATTTCTGTGGGTTGCCAGGTCCCCCATCTCAGTGACCGATCTGCAAAATATCATTTAATTAGACAGAAAAAGTTTCCAAGTGATCAGGGTTGGAAATAATACGAAATCGGTTGCGGGTAGTGTTTATTGCAGGAAAATGTGACACAATATTGTGATCTTAATCTAAGTAGCCGGTTCCCCCGACCACGCGTTTTGCCCGTACTTTCTGATGTTACCCCAAATTCGAAGGGTGCAAAAGTACACAATTTCAATTGCAGAGACGACGGAGAAGCCTATAAATAACCCCGTGAGCCCGCCCATATTTGAAAAGAAGTCGACGAGGCCGTACAGCTCATTTCTCACGCAAGTCATGAACTGCAGGTCTTTGTAGTAAACTGTCAATTTTGAAAAGTGTGCCCTGAAATAAAGGTGAAGTTAGTCGCCCGCTGGTCTTAAGCAGCTCTACCGTTTTGGGTCCAAATCAGTCCTTATCCTGTTCAGCCCTTTGACATGGTTTAAGATGTTCAATACGTTATGCCAACTCCAATCTGTTTGGGAGGTTTCAACTTCATACGACAAAGAAGTGCATAGAGGTAAACAGTCGCACTGTTCGCTTTCTTTACCATTGCTACTTTCGATTTCCAAGTATTTTACTAAAAAGCATATAATTCAAATTCTTGCCAATGAGCACGAAAAGGCTTACATTTGCTTTGCCTCACGCACTCATTGTTGGCAGGTCCACAAATGGTAATCTTTTCCTCTGGCGCTAAAAATCCAACGGCTTAGAAACAACCTGGTGGTGATCACACTTACAGGCGTAATAAAATGGAATGCATTTACACTGAGCGAAAGTGTAATTGGCCACGCACTCCTGAAGACAATTCTGCTGCGTGTACATCTTGTAACTCTCCAAATATCTCTCATTTGCAAAATAACACCTCCTATCCTTGGGGGAGTAGTTCCACAATTGCGGCGACACCGTGATCATTTGCGGCTTAATTGCAACCACCACCGCCTGGTTTAAAGGTAGTCGAAAATGCCTGTCCATGCTAGGGAATTCGCTGGGATGGTGTAGGGCTACCTGTAAAACATAGGGGATTGGGTTGATCTATAGAAATCAGACACGCACTTTGAATCCCTGCAAGGATTCTCCGCAAAGGTAGTCCAGGTGGCTGTTGTTGACGTAGATGTTGTCAATGGTTAAACCACCATCGAGTCCTGGCATAAAGGTTCTCCTTGGAAATGCGTCGAAGGTTTCGCCTGGAGGATAACCTTCTTCGAGCGACCACTTTCGACTTTTATTTTTGGGTTTCATTGAGTTGTTAAAGTTGTCACTGTAAGATGGAGCTTAGCAAATCATAGTGCTACAACCAAAGAATCGGTGCTAACACGGACGAGGGGGGAGGTGTCCACCTATCAAACTGCATACACTGCAACTTCCCACTCTTAATGTCAACATTGAAATTAAAATATTCTATCTGCACGTTTCGCTAACAGATTTAAGAGAATCTTCAAGTGTGCGTGAGAATTTCTGTAAAAATGTGCACCCTAACATTTTATTTATTTGTCATCCAATTTCCAAAAAAACTCGTACTATAAAATATCCTCCTTAAAATTTTATATATTACATGACAGGTTCCTTCAAATGTTCTTTAGAGATTATTCAGAATCCCACAAAGTCTCTATGATTTTATTCTCAATAATTCTTCATAGATACTTTAAAGGGTCCTAATAAGATTCGCTTTTCAACCTGCTTCATAGATTTTCCCAAGATTCATAGAGGTCTAAGCAATTTTTGAAAAATTTGTCTCACATGAATTCACAAAAACTTTGTGAAGAATATTATTGACAGAATTTTGAAAAATATTCCAAATTCTCTGAGTGGGTCTCTGGGAATCTCTTTGAATAATCCATTGACATACTAGATAAATATTTGAAAAATCCTTCATCAGTTTTCCAAAAGGCTCTGGAGAAGTTATGAATTCAGAAAAATTTCCATTTAAATCATTTTAAAATTCACCCTCGCTTATTTAGTTTCTATTTTGTCTCTTGAGTTTCTTACAAGTTACAAATATATTTTTTAAATACAGGTCAAAGTGATGATTACCTGTATCTAAGAATCTCTTCATAAGGTAGCATATTGAATGTATAACAAAAGCCCTCAGATGTGACACTTATTCCTAGAGACTCGTTTAAGTTCAATGATTTTCCTATCCACTTAACAGTTGTCATTCCCAGCACGTCAAAATAAGGCAGCATCTACAATAAACTCGGATCCTCACATTACAAAACTTTCCCTCTACTTACCTCATCACCTAATTTATCGATCGCTTCTGGAGAACATGTTTTATTCCATAGTGTCGTATTAAACAAGTCAATGTAGTCCATCGCACTGCTGCAAACCAAATAGGACAGTTGCAGGTACTCTTTACTGAAATAACCCCAATTAACCTAAATGAGGGCTAATTGCCGACAACTACTCTTGCTTGTTCAGCTTCAAGCCGCTCTGCTCCATCAGCATCGCGTGGGTAAAGTTGAAGACTTCCGGATCGAATTTCGCCTCTGGGCAAAGCGTGACAGCCGGAAATGGTATTTGCGAAATGGGCGTCTCTTGACTGGCGAAAGTTACGATCACCGGCGAGAGTTGCCATTTTTGATAAGTCTTGTGTATCAGCATAATGCAAAACACGCAAACGACGAAGACTACCGCAGTCCATGCTAACTTTTCCAAAACGTGACGGCCTCGCTCTCCTACGTATTTAACTCCATGAACTGTGGTCGACTCACAGTAGTGGATGCAGTATCGTTTCAAATGCGTAAAAAAATCGGGTTTTGGTGGACTAATTTCACTCGACACTGGCGACACACTAATTAAATTACGTTTGTAACTACCATTGGCTTCTTTTTCCTTTTGCGTCATTTTATAATCAGTTGTCAGTCGCTGGGCTAAAATTTTACTACAAAGGAGCAATTTAAGGGATTAAAACTGCTGCACTGATTCAAGAAGCAATGGAAATTAAACAAGAATTTACTCACTTTACATTGTGTTTCATTACTAACAACTGTGACACACTAGACACACAAACCAGTGGTTTCGATTGTGATGATTGTGCGAAAAAAAACAAACTTTTGACTAAGATAAACATGCACATATGAATATAACGATATTTTTTATAAAATTGATTCTAATTCTTTGGTAGCAACATTCATATAGAAAATCATAGGTTTTAGGTAAGAAGATCCATCCCTCATCAGAAGATTTCATAAAGATTTTTATTATTTGGGATGTTTCTTGAGATAGGGTAATATGGAACGCCGTTGTATCTTTTAATAACTGAACACCCGGACTAAAAAAATTAACTATAATTGACGCAATGGTACTAAAATTTATAGAAATTTACTTTGTGTTAACAACAATTGCCTAGTTGAAATTAATAATTGCATATCTTCCAATAACAACTCGCAATTATTTCCTCTTTTACAATTTCAAATAACGGTTTTTGTGCGAAATTTCAAAAACAGTTATTGAAATGGCATATTTAACAATTTCAAATCGGCAGTCTTATTCATTATATCACGATTTAGGAATAACGTGTTGAAAATTTTAATGTTAAAAAATTATCGATTTGATATTATTAAATAATCTTTGATATCACCTTCACGCTTTGTAATAATTTTCAATTTCAAGTTGAAATAAAAAATTCAATTCTCTATTTCAAACTCGTAACTTTGGAACGCACAATTTAATTTTTAATATCGACTCTGTGATATTGGTAATTCGATTTACTTATACAGAGTGAGCAACAAAGATTGAAGCGTGCCGCTTCAGCTAAATTGGCAATGTGCCGCTCATAGCATATGCTGATTTGATACAACATACGAAATACGAATAGACGCACGTCACTGTGACAGCGCAGAACGTCATTTTCGTATACAACTCCATACAAAGAAGGTAGTTTTGATATTAATAGGAACAAGCGGTGATGACGCACGCTTCAATCATTGTTGCTCACACTGTATGTCATGACATATAAAAAATTGTGGCGCCATCTATCGAGTGATGTCAAAAGTGAGGAGCGAACCTCAACCCAACTAATCACGTTTGATGTAATTACCGCGAAAATCTATTTTCAAGTGCTTATTTTATTACCCATATCGTTCATAAATACATTGTGCGAATAATATTGTCAAAAAAAATGTACAATTACGCGAAATGGAGATTTTAAATTCTGTTCCCATTATTAAACTTACTGTCGCTAGAGGGCAGGTCAATTTGCTATATGTGATTTAAAAATATCGCCTTGATATTTTTAATTCATTTACCAATATGTGCGACTTGATATTTTTAATTCTATTGCACAAATTACTAATTTCTACTTGGAATTTTTAAATACTTTCATGATATCGACTTTGTATTTTAAAACAATTTTTTATTTCAAAACTATTATTATTTAGAGTTGAAATATTAATAAATTTCATTGATTCCTTTGGTTGGATGTTCATTTCACAACATAACGATAATTTTCAATTTTTTGTTTCAAGTAATATCCATCCCTATTAATTTATTCCTCCACAATGAAGAATTCATTGCTGAATGTTTACAAACTGTTTTTGATATCAAAAATTTTTATCTGATATTTAAAAATAAAACCTATTTTCAACCATAGAATAATTTTCTATTTCATTTCTTAATTTTCAATAACGAAAATATGTTTTTAAAACTCATCAACCGATTTTTCAGTAACAGAAGTTATAATTTTGCATTCTGAACATTTTAAAACGTACCTGAAATTTTCATTAAAATCAATTAATAGGTATGCAGTTTCAAATAAAACGTTAGACGGGATTGAAAGTTTTGCGACAATGGAAGAAGTAGTTTCCATATTGACAATTGTAATTAACACAAAGGTTGTTATAGTTAAAAAAAGTTTAATATCCTATTGAAATATACAATTCACGAATTATATTTCTAAGTTTCATATCGTGTACAATGCAAAGTATTTAAAAATTTCAAGTAGAAATTAGTAATTTGTGCAATAGAATTAAAAATATCAAGTCACA